GTTAATGACACACCACCATTCCTGTTTCTAGTTCTTCCTCCTTCAGCCTGAATCCTGCTTTTCCTTCTCTATGAATGGCTAATTCTTCTCTTCATTCAAGTCACATCCCAGTTGTCATCTGTGCAGGAAGGTCTTCCCAGCCATCTCTCTAATGTTCCCATGCTCTGGGGCAGACTCCTTCGAAGGATGCCTTTGGGGGCTGGAGAGGACCATCCATAGACTGATTCTGCATGGTGGATGGAATCCATCCATGAAACAGAGGCTCACCCAGAGGCTATGAGCTGTGAGCATTCTTGAGATTGCAAGTATCTCTGAGTTTCTTTATATCCAGTCTCTTAATAAATTTGGGGCCGTATGTATCAATTCAACATCTGTTTTATTTGGAATTATTCCATAGAGTCTTAGATCAGGATACAGTAAAACTTTATGTTAAATACTTTCCACATGTAAAGCAAACCCACATAGGAAAAAATCTGTTACTTGTTTGTTTGCTTGTTTGAGGTGGAGTCTTGTTCTGTTGCCTGGCTGGAGTGCAGTGGCATGATCTCTGCTCACTGCAACCTCCACCTCCCAGGATGAAGCGATTCTCCTGCCTCAGCCTCCTGAGTAGCTGGGACTACAGGTGCCCACCACACCCAGCTAATCTTTGTATTTTTGGTAGAGACAGGGTTTCACCATGTTGGCCAGGATGGTCTTGATCTCTTGACCTCGTGATACACCCACCTCGGCCTCCCAAAGCGCTGGGATTACAGGCAGGAGCCACCGCGCCTGGCCAAGCGCATGTTGATGACAGCCAGGGGTTTAAACTCACTTAATTCACTTTGGGTCCATTTCATGGGACATATGTTGATGCAAAAGTTAGTACCTTTTCCCCAGGAACTGTGAGACATAAACATCTGATTGAAGATTTCTGATATTTTTTGTTTGTTTTCAGTTTAGTTTTATCTCATTCTATTTCAAAATAAATCTCACCTGCTATGTGAGCTATCAGATAAAAGTACACATACCAATGGCAATATCAGTAAAGGAGACTTGTAATCTGTAATAAAGCCTCAAATATTAATGTTTGTAGCATCAGGTTCTGTGGGGTAAGAGGACTTGGTTTCCTTTGTATTTTTTTTTAATTCTCTAAGACAAAAATTTGCATAAAAGTAGTTTTCTAGGGAAGTGGGGAAGTCACATGGGAAAGTCCATGAAAGTATGTTAATGGTTAGGTTAGTATGTTAACCTAACCATTAGTATGGTTAGGGGCAGCTGGGCACTGATCTTGCGGCAGGCCTCAGAGAGACTAGGAAAACCTCAGAATTTTCTCCACAGTGACAAAAAAGCTGTTATTCCAAATCATCTGCAGAGCTTAAAATAACATGCAGATAGGTGCAGTTCGCACTGGTGACAAAGACACTGGCCTATGAATACACAATGATAAAAGCTCGTAGCATGAGCAGTAGACCGCTAATCATACCGTAATTATAATAGAAGAAAACGCTGAAAGTAAAAAACTTATTTAATGAAAGCGAAAACTGTGGCTCCTTCCCTCTTGTCTACTAAATTCCACAGAACTCCTAAATTCCATCCGCAGATCCCAGATTAAGAAACCCAGAAGTGGGAGGAGACAAATGATAGAAACACAGACGGGAGAACACATATACTGTGCCAGGCGGTAGAAGCTAAAGAGGGAGGATGGACTAAGCAGGAAGTAGCCACAGTTTTACATATACCAGGAGAGACTCTCCAAGAAGATGCTATTGAGGCAAAGGCCTGAATTGGAGGAAGAAGGGGCAGGAGAAACAGCCAGCACAAAATCTTGGGGTCAGGATAGAGGGTGAAGGTTAGGAGTAGGTGGGGCGCACACAATCGAGAAAGCTGTGCGCAATCTCAGAGTGGTCGTAAGACCCAAGTCAGAGACCAGAGATCAATACTGAGACAATATAAACTATAGCAGGTCAAGGAAGGTTTGAACTAAGCATCACCTTGGGGTCAAATGGCTAAAATTGTAATCAGCTGTTTAGCTTCCAGTAAACTGGGATCCGTAGATCATTTGGGGTGGAGTTTTTAAATGGGGAAGGCGATCATGAAGGTTGATTCTCCAGCTAGGACACACAGGGAGTGGCAGCTATTGTTTTGCTTAGAAAACATACATTCTCGGCCGGGCACAGTGGCTCACGCCTGTAATCCCAGCACTTTGAGAGGTGGAGGTAGGCGGATGACTTGAGGTCAGAAGTTCGAGACCAGCCTGGCCAACATGGGGAAACCCTGTCTCTACTAAAAATACAAAAATGAGCTGGGCTTGGTGGCGTGTTCCTATTGTGCCAGTTACTCAGAGGCTGAGGCATGAGGATCACGAGCCTGGGAGACAGAGGTTGTATCTAGCTAAGATTGTGCCCCTGCACTCCAGCCTGGGAGAAAGAGCAAGACACCATCTCAAAAAAAAAAAGAGAAAAAAAAAGAAAAAAAATCATACATTTTCTCTTCTGTCCACCCCAGATCAATTTTCCCTTGGAGAACTGTCTCCCCTTGACTCCCAGACTGTGACTTTTGAGTGAGACCAATGCCCAGTCCATACAATCCACACAGTCCACCATTGTCACTGCAAGTGGCTGCCTAATCACAAATGCTTCAGTGAGAATTTTCCCAGGATTTGTCTTGGAACTATTGTGCTTTTAAATGCCATCCTGCCTCTATGAAGGAAAAGTATTTTCAAGAAGCAAATCAACACGAAAGATTGTACAGTAGAGGAAAAAGAGAGGAAGAGTTTTCCAAATGACTTTGAGTCCCTGGAAATACCCTTGGGCCATTCATGTGTAAGATCCCATGGCTTCCTTTTCTTTTCTTTTTTATCTTAAATATCACACTTCTGAAATGTAAATTTTTGTCATTTGGAACTAAAAGTGTCCTGACTTGTTGAGGATTCAGGAAGATGGAAAAAAAAAATCTTATTGAAACGAAGATAATAGACCACTACCTCAGAAGGGACTTAAATGTTCCCAGAAAGCAACCCCTTTATTTATCCCATGAGAAAATCTGAGAGCCAAAAGTGACTTCCTTAAGGTCAAAATAGGAAGCAGCAGAAGGAGACAGGCTTGAACTCAGGTCGTCTGATTTCCAGGAAAGAGACAGCTCTGTCTCAATGCTTCATACGATGTGTCGCTGCCTATGGCCAGCTTAGTCACACAAGAAAACAGAAGTCACTGTGTAATAAAGACAGACACAGTGTGTCCTGGACTCGGAGAATAAAGAGCAGAAAACATGTGCTGGAAACCAGGGTCAGCAGCTGCTGAGGGTGTGTGTGTGTGTGTGTGTGTGTGTGTGATTTCCCCCATCTTCAATCCAGCTGGTGTATTTATAACATTAAGGGGCCCTCCATGTTTTACAGTCACCATCATGAAAGTTTCTTGAACCCCTGAGGTCATAGGAAGGGAAGGTCAATTCTACATACACAGTCACTAATACTTCAGTGACTAGGCAGACTGCTCTGCAGAGGGTAGAACTGGACAGAGGTGGCTACTGAGACTAACTTCTAATGACCTCCAAAATTCTTCTCTTTTAAAAAAACATTTTTTTTGAGACAGAGTCTCACTCTGTCACTCAGGCTGGAGTGTGATGGTGGATCTCGGCTCACTGCAACCTCTGCCTCCTGGGTTCAATCGACAATCGATTCTCCTGACTCAGCCTCCCAGGTAGCTGGGACTACAGACCTGCACCACCAAGCCCAGTTAACTTTGTATTTTTAGTAGAGATGGGATTCCACCATGTTGGCTAGGAAAGTCTTGATCTCTTGACCTCATGATCTGCCCACCTCAGCCTCCCAAAGTGCTGGGATTACAGGTGTGAGCCACTGCGCCCAACCTTATCTTTATTTTTTAAACTCTTTATGCCTGTAAGAACAATATTCTATTCTGTTATTAAAACATTGCTCATGAATACCAGCTATCTTGGCATCATGACTCAATAACGGATTACAATCTATAGTTGAAAAAAAATCTGCTTTACAAGAATTTGGCATCTAAGTGAAGTCCTGCAGGGGGCGGAGGTGAAGAGTGTAGGGCAAACAGCGCTCAAGGCTGAGGGGTCCGTGTCTGTGTGGGTCTACAGCAGGGAAGAACCTGCTGTGTTTCAGGACCTAGAGAAAGGCCAGCGAGACTCGTATGCATTGAACGTTGGGAAACTTTTTACAAAATAAGATTAGGGATGTGCGCAGATGGCCAATCACGTGGGGCTTCCCAGGACCACGGAGAGAGTTTGGATTTTCTTACAATAACAATGGGCAGTCACAGGAGGGTTTTCAGCAGGGGAGTGACGTTATCTCACTTTTGTACATTCAGAAAGAAAGATCAAACTGGAAGCCTGTGTGCTGTGTGGGGAGTGGGATGAGGGATTGCAAGAGTGGAAGGAGAGAGGCAAGTTTGGAGGCTGCCATCAGATTCAGGTGAGGGTGCTGGTGGCTGGGACCAAGCGGCGACACAGGAAGTGCTAAGATCATGTTGAAGGGCAGCCTGCAGCTCCTGAGCGGGTTTTTCTGTGTAGCCTGAGTTGACCTGAGTGAAGTATTAGGGAATTCTGGACACCAAAGGCTTGATGGTCAGTTGCATTTATTGTTGGTTATGATTCTTTGAAAGATGCTTTTAGCCAACAGGAAATGTAGCCCTTAGAACGCTTCCAAGAATAAATCATTTTCCACAAACTATAAACAGGAGCACCACTGCTGAAGATAGACTCGGCATCCTGTCGTGACGTGCCGCTCTCAATGCAGAGATGAATAACGCCTGTCGTGCTACACGCAGGATGTTGACTCAGCTGCCAAGTGGTTTTGGGGCTGATCTCCTTTATTAATGGAAACCGATGCTTCTCTGGGCTAACTGGCTTCCTGGCGCTCCTGCTGGGCTGCTTCAGAGGTTGCGGCCGCGTGCCCTCTGCTGCCCTCTTGCATTCTGCAGCCTAAGGTATGAGCTTCACTGTGGAGCTCCTGAAACCATCTTGTGTTTGTTTCTGCTCTTTTGTAGAGAGAAGATGGGAGACAAGCAAGCATTCCCCTGGTGGAAGTGGATGTCAGGTGGGCCTGCTGCTTGGGATGCTGTGCAGTGCTTTGAAAACCTTTCAGGGACACTGAGTCATCCTGTGGTATCACCTAAAGGACCCAGAGGAAGCACAGATATGACTAGAAGCCTTGATGACCAAGCTCTCATCCCTTTGCTGACTTGCTGTGTGCAGTTAGCACCCTGCTAAGCCTCTCTGTTTTAGTTACCTCTGTTGGAAGGCCAGGTTCAACTAAATTTGGCCTTAGCGACTGATACGCTTTGTCTGTGTCCCCACCCAAATCTCATCTTGACTTGTAGTTCCCATAATCTCTACGTGTTGTGGGAGGGACCCAGTGGGAGGGAATTTAATCTTGGAGGCGGTTACCCCCATGCTGCTGTTCTTGTGATAGTGAGTGAGTTCCCTTGAGATCTAATGGTTTTATAAAGGGCTTTTCCCCCTTTCATTCAGCACTTCCCTTTCCTGCCAGCATGTGAAGAAGAACATGTGTGCTTTCCCTTCCACCAGGATTGTAAGTTGCCTGAGGCCTCCCTAGCCATGCTGTACTGTGAGTCAATGAAACCTCTTTCCTTTATCAATTACCCAATCTTGTACCACTTCTTTATAGCAGCATGAGAATGGACTAATCAATGACTGTTCAGTTCTTTCAGATATAAGCAACGGTCTATTTGCTCTTGATTTAGAACATCCAGTATGCAAGGAGAAAAATAAAAGATTGAACCGTCTTGAAGGCACGTGCACACACAGGGAAAGGCAGGCAATTGTGGCAACAATCTTACCCACCATGAGAATCTAGTGTTAGCTTTCCTTATACCACTCAATAAGCTTATACACAGGGTTTTATTGACCAGAGTATGTTACTAAATTGCTGAAATATAACTTGTTTAACCAATTATTTTGTGAGATTTAAAAAACATTCTCAATTTTTGATATTAAGCAGAGTCTCAATAAGTCTTTTGGTATGTCTTTGACCACCTGTCTTGTTTTTTCCTGGATTATTTATCAGAATTAAATGATTGCTTTAGTTTTTGTAAATATGTTGAGAGACTTGCTCTACATTGCCAAAACATTTTTGCTGAAAATTTGAGCCAATTTATGTTCTTGCTGGTAGTGAGAACACATGGACACAGAAAGGGGAGTACTAAACACTGGGGTCTATTGGGGGGAAAAGGGGAGGGCCAGTGGGAGGGGGTGGTGGGGAGGGATAGCCTGGGGAGAAATGCCAAATGTGGGTGAAGGGGAGAAGGAAAGAAAAGCACACTGCCATGTGTGTTCCTATGCAACTCTCTTGCATGCTCTGCTCATGTACCCCAAAACCTAAAATCCAATAAAAAATTAAAAAAAAAAAAGAATATTAGAAAAAAGGAATTAAACAGTATTTATAATACTAAAAAAAAAAAAAAAAAAACGGTTATACATACTGAAACTGGAGAGTACCAGTTTATTTATTTGAATACTTGCTAATTTGGCAGGTGAAATATTATCTTGCTTTTATTTGTATTTCTTTATCACTTGTAGAATTTTTGTGCTTATTGATTTCTGATATTTATTCTTTTGAAAAATAGGATGTGCATTTCAAACATTTTGAATTTTTAGCAACAGTAGGTGTAGAAAGGTGTAACAATTCTCCAATCTTTTTCTCAATAATTCGTTCAATAAATATTTTTTGAAGACCTATATATACTAGGCATGACTTTAGGTGCTGGGAACTTTACAAGAATCAAAATAAAAGCATCTCTGCCCTCATGGGACTTAGATTCTTTTGAGGCAGGCACAAAATAAAATACATAAGTAACATAAGTAATATGTTAGATCATGAAAGGTATTAAAAAGAAAAGCATGAAGCAAGGAATGGATAGCATATCAATGGGTAAGAGAAATGATTGCGATTTAGAGAGAGTCCAAAGACATTCTCTCCCGAAAGGCGGGGTTTGAGTAAAGATGGAAGGGACTGGGTGGATAAGCCCTGTGGACACCTCTGGATTCCAGGTAGAGGGATCAGGAAGTTCAACGGCCCAGAGGCAGGCAGGTGTCAGGCTGGAGCCAGGGCATCCTGGTGGGTCTTCCTACCTGTTGAAAGACTGGCTTTTTCTTTGTAAGAAGTAGGGAGCCCTGGGAGGATTCAAGCAGAAAAGGGACCTTATGCAATCACTTTTAGTAGGCTCACTCTGGCTGCGGTTTTGAGGACAGACTGACGGAGAGTCAAGGCAAAACTGAAGGGAAAGTAAAGGCAAAACAGTTAGGAAGCCGTTGTAATAAACAACTGTGGTGGCAGCTGGGACCAGGGTGTCAGCAATGCGCGTGATGGGAGCGGGGAGGGGGCTGGAGATGTTGGAATCTGAAGGTAGAGCTGGCAAGGTTTGCTGAGAGATTTGTATCTGGGTGTGAGAGAGGGATGATGAGGATGAGGCCAGCGTTTTTGTTTGTTTGTTTTCTTATTCTTTTCCTGAAGAGAAAAAAATCATCATCAATTGAAGTGAGACAGACATGGGTGGGGGCGTTTATTGCACTGTATTACAATTATTACAAACTGCATGATTTTAAATAAGAACCAGTGTTGGTTTAAATACTCCAAAGCCCACTGACTCTGTGTGAAAATTTAAAGCTGATTCAGGACACTGAAAGCGTGCGTAAGCACAGCTCTGAGGTTTAAGGCAAGCAGTGCTGTAAATGCATGTCTTTGGATCCAACATGACCAAGGATGGCCTCATCCATCACCAGCCTCCATGCAGTGGGTGACTCTAGGATCTGTATCTTGACTTGAAGGAAAGCCTATTCCTCTCAAAAGAAAAAAATATGTATATTCCCTTTCTGTTATCTTTCTGCCTCCTCTTTTTTTGTTGTTGAGACAGGATCTCACTCGGTTGTGCAGGCTGGAATGCAGTGGCGAGATCTTGGCTCACCACAACCTCCGCCTCCTTAGGCTCAAGCAATTCTTCTGCCTCAGCCTCTGTATAGCTGGAATTACAGGCACACATCACTACCACCTGGCTAATTTTTGTACTTTTAGTAGAGACATGGGTTCACCATGTTGGCCAGGCTTGTCTCGAACTCCTGACCTCAAATGATCCACCCACCTCGGCTTCCCAAAGTGCTGGGATTTCAGGCATGAGCCACCATGTCCAGCTTCTTCAGTGATAAATAGCCTCTTTTTTTTTTTTTCCATGTTCCTCACAGTCGTAGTTCTTGGCACATTGCATTTTATGTGTACCCTAGACTCATTTTAAACACCATCTGATATAATAACCTACGCAATTTTCTCTTTGAATAACAATGGAAAAATAACAATTTCAATAGTGGATGATATCATTGTCCTTTAGCTTCCACGCCATGGTGTGGTAGGCTGAGTGCAGCTGATAGAAAAAAGTTTCCTCCCGAGCCACTGAGAAGAAGAGCCGGGGGAGGACATCTGCTTGGCCCTTACGCTGACGTTTTGGCGAATGAAAGGGTGATGCTCCCCCTTCCCTTGGCACAATCACTGTCACCTCAGCAAAATTTAGAGCTATCATCATGACAAGGGATTCTCAATCTCAGCACTGTTGATGTTTTGGAGCGGGGGATAATTCTTAGTGGGGAGGGCATTCTGTGGGTTTTCATATATTTAGTGGCATCCCTGCATTCTGCCCATTAGATGCCACTCCCCTGCCCTGAAAACTGTGACAATCAAAAATGTCTTGAGACACTGCCAGTGTGCCCTGGGCTGGGAACCTTGGTCTAGAATAAGCACATCAAGATCCGCTGTAATTCCATTAGGGAGGAACACAACGAAAGCTCTCTAAACCAGCAGCCCTGGCTTCTCAGATCTTCCTCTCCATGCCAGGGCCCTGCAGAATGGGCTCGTTCTGTTTCCTGTTCACTTTGCTCACGAAGTCACTGAATCGTTTTCTTTGCAAGGTCTGGGTCATGCTTATTTTTGAGCAACGGTAGAATTCTCAGGATGTGGGTTAACTTAGAGTTTGGTAGCTCTACTGTATTCTTTTCTTTTCTTTACTCATATTGCTTTTAATCCTCTGTAGGCCTTAGCATCTGACATGTACATGGGTCTTGCAAAGGTCATAATGGAGTTTTCATCCTGTGTAGAGTCAGGGAAGGGTGCACTGAGGTGTGGGGTGGCTAAAGCAGAGGAACACACTGGGCAGGCAATTCCCAGGAGGCAGAGACACTGACGACCACAGATGTCCAACCACCTGCTGAAGCTTGAGTGTTCCCGCCCACTGAGTGTCCCAGCCAATATATACCTGAACACGTACCCAGATGTGCATACGTGAGGCTACAGATTGTGCTTTACACAGATGCACCATGATCAAGATGGCACTGTTCCCATCTTAGATGGTGTAGCTTTGAGTGTCTAGCAATGCAGCTTAGCAGCAGGTGGCAATGCAGTGTCCTATCCTCGCCACGTCAGCAGATGAGGACAGCTTGCCCAGAGCCCCCAAAGTGGAAGGTGCATAGCCCTAATGGCATGAGGATTTCAGGCCATCCATTTTACAGTGGGCATAACACAAAACCAGACAGTAACACAGTGACCTGGACGAGTTCTCTTTCAATCTTTGAGACCAGCTCAGGAAGAAAGTATGAGGTTGGTGTTGCTAAACCTTTAATACGTTTTTACACTTGCCAATTCTGGTCTATACCCTCCCTACAAGGTGAAGGTGTTCATTATACATTAGTTAACTAACTTTTTATTTTGAAATAATAGATTCAGAGGAAAATGCAAAAAAAAAAGTATCGGCTCCCAGTGGTAACATCTTGTATGACCATAGTTTCATGTCAGGAAAAGAAAATTGGCATGGTACAATCCACAAAGCCTGGTCAGACTTCACCAGTTTTATAAATATTAGGTTGGTGCAAAGGAAATTGCATATTTTGCCATTAAAATAATGTCAAAAACTACAACTACCTGTGTGTCAACCTAATCCTTGTGTGTAATCCTTGTCCTTGTGTGTGTTTGCATGTGTCTAGTTCTATGTGATTTTGTCACATGTGTAACCCCCATTCTTTCATCTATTTCCATGAAAGTCCATCTTTTCTGGCATCAGTGACTTCCACTCTCTATCTGATCAATTTTGGAGCTGTGTTAGCAAGTGGGTACGTACCAAGGAGACAAAAGTCAGGGTCTGTTCTATGGCATCTATGTCAATAAGTGGGGGATTTTTTCCTTGAGGACACCAATCAGCTGACCTTTCTGTATAAGGCTGTATCTGTAGAGATGAGATGGACACTTGGCTTTGGGCTGACATGACTCCACTCATTTTTCCCACAAGTGTTTATTGAGCATCTGCTAACTCCTTGTCTTGTGTCCAACATTCTGGATACCACACTAAGGGAGGTGGGCCAGGCTCCATGCTCATGGAGTTCACGGTGAAGAATGAGAGACAGGCAATGACCAGAAAATAAGCCAGATCATCTCAGAGCCTGAGAAACAATGTGATGGAAATAGCACAGGATGGGAAGGTAGAAAGTCACTTGAGGTGGAGTTGACTTCACAGCGGGCAGGTGGGGAAGCGAGGGGAGTGTCCTGCTGGCGGGCATGGAGACAGAGACCTGGGTGATTCCTCCAGCCAAGGGAAGAGCTGGGAAG